TTAATATTTTCCCTCCACTGGTCTCCCTCTTTGTTTGCCTTGACTGGCGGGCCTGCTGTGACTTGCGGAAGAAACTTAATAGGTTTCTGAATTAAAACCACATGCTTTGTGTGTACACATAGTAATAACCGATACATTCGGATATATACCCATATTTTCATTAATATAACTAGTTTTTGAACAGATATAGTCTATCATGGTGAATTATTTTAAAGAAAATATATGGATTTTGGAGTTTGTGCTCGTGCAGGTTCAACCAAAGACAATAATGGGTGCATATGTATTCCGGAGGCTGCGCCAGGATGGCACAGCACGGACCCGGATGCAGAGTAAACCAGGAGCAACAAGCAACAATAAATGCCCACGCAGCTCCACCCTGTTCTGCTTCTATCAATCATGTATCCCAGATGATAAAAGCTAATCTACTGGTGGTCCAAAAACAGAAAGAGTAATTAAGCTTAATTAATTAAATATAATATGTTGTTCCCCTTGTTGGTAGCTTACCTAAGCACAGAGGGCAGTCTGCTTGTTAAGTGTCCTCTATGCTTACCTTGAAATATCTCCAAACCAGAGGGTCGCATTAGCCTTATTTCTGTCTTTGACAGTTCTTTTTAAAACAGTGGTGTGATTATAGGCAAGTGGCTAATTTATATCTCTAGTCCTACTTTTTGGGCAATCTTACATAAGAATAAAAATCAGTATTGCAAACAATACTGTACATTGCTGTGACAAAAAGAACAGTCCTAAGATGGATCGCACTGTAAAAGTGACTTAGCTGCACAGCAACACTATTTTGTTTCACAGACTCCCAGAGCAGTGATGCTTTCTTAATTTCCTGTCCTCTTCTCTCCTTCCCCCTTTTCCCACCATCTCTAAAAGCCTGTGACTGCTGGTCTCTCCCATGCTTTATCACAGTGTGTGTGTGTGTGTGTGTGTGTGTGTGTGTGTGTGTGTGTGTGTGTGACCTTATTCTGCCTTTTGAGATTGCAGTTTAATAGAACCCTTCCTCCCTGATGAACAATGATAAGCTAATGATTCGGGAATTTAGCAGGCATATCTGCCTAAAGAAAAACAAAAAGAGGAAGTAGTGGTAAAGGACCAAAAAGGCCTTAAAATGTACAATTAATTACTCTGAAATTGCCCTAACAAAACCTTTTGAGGGAGGTGCATTTATGGAACTAGTTTCCTCCTTTCTTGTGCAGATGTGTGTACGATAAGAACTGTACTGAGTTTGGGGGGGTTTCGTATAGGTTTAGGCCTCCAAGAAGCTAGTTCATTTGACAGAAGCATAATAAGAAGAAACAGTGTGATTATAATATGCTTTCGCGGCGCTTTCACTGCTTAGCCCTAATAACACAACTTCATATACACAAAGGTAAATGCTAGAACTGCCACAAGGGTGACTTTAAATGCCCCATTTAAACCTTGTTCAGTTCACCTTGCGATTTTACAACTAAGGTAATTCTTAATCAGTTAAACAATGATTTAAAACCAAAATATGCTATTTTTATTTAATAGACAAAGTTGAATTATGCATCAAGTGTCTATCTGTTAATCATTATCGTCAAAGAAAATGTTATGCAAAAGCTTGTTTGTCAATCAACTCGCCTGAGAACTCTGACAAAATATATAGGGACAAATCAACCACAGTTTTAACTTACTTTGTCACAAAATCAAAATTATGAACACCAGTTTCCATGCCACTAATCTACATGTAATAAACAATAAACAAATATTAAATGAACAGAACACAAACTGGAAGTCAGTTAAAAGAGTCATACAAGTAAGAATGTATTATTCTAACTATTTACACTCGGCTATTTACAATGAAGCTAATACAATTATGTACAACTTGCAGCTGGTGTAGATCCCCTCTCTTCACCTGGCACAACTCCTGCTGCAGATGTCAGGGGTTTTATTTTTAGAGCACCATCTCTGCACTTGGCACTCCCCCTCTTTTTTGAGCTTGCTGAACTTTTGAGTCCTGATGGCTTAGACTTCCACCTTCTTTTATCTGCCTTGATTGCTGTCTTCTCACCCATAAAATCTGCACAAAACCCCTCCCTCTCCCAGCTGCTACAGAAATGTGTGTGCAACAGGACATGAGTATTTAGCTATTTCTGTAAGGTATGTCATGTTACACATCAATTGACCATCTCCACATATCACCCTTTACTAAATATCTACTATCCAAATATTAAACCTGTGTTTCGTCTCGGTGCTGCACAGAATCTGGCTTTGGATTTGTCCAATGAGTGATGCCCACACCCATGCACAGTGCTAAGAATACAAACATTTTTGTGAAACATTCCCCAAAATAATGGACAAAAAGGCAGAAATCTTTCATTAATTGGAAAAATCCTTAGTGACCAGAGAGATTATGTGACAGCTTTTCCTGAATGAAAATAATTTTTTTTTTTTTTTTTTTTTTACATTCAGAAAGTAAATAAATTACCTTGACAAGCTGTCATAGCACTTTATTATTTTTTACTTGTTACTTCAAAGATGTTCACACAAACGGATACAAATCATTTCTCTTTCCCTCTGCCTGCATTTTCTCCACATCTCGACCTCCCGTCTGTGTACCTGGTGTTTCCAACTCCAGCTGCCTTTGGGATGTGCAGAATTATGACAGTGCACAATTACTTGCCTGCATGTCAAGAGCTTATGCCTTGCCTGTCACTAGACAGCAAAAGTGCAAGATAAAGAAAAAGGAGGGAGAGACACATCAGTCACAGTTGGATGCGTGTGTCTGGGGAAACAAGATTGTTTTCTGGACAGGGCCATAAAGTGGAGGGGTCACAATGCCCCCCCCCACCGCCACCCCCCTTATTCTGGTGCCCTTGTGAAACGGTGAAGTCGCACTCTGATTAATTTATAGAACAATGAGACAGAAACACCTTATTACTCTATGAGCAAGAGCAAGTTTCAGACATAAAAAGGGATGGCAGAAGAATCTGTAACACTGATGTCTCATCAAATCATGCCTAGAGTCTTACCCAATGTTCAGCCAGGTGGATAATAATTACAGCTTTGACAAGTTAAACCATTAATCAACCACTTATGTGTGTTTACCAAATGTACGTGCAAACAAAGTAATGCTGATGTGAGCTGACACATTAATTAAATGCTTCAAGTTTTGTAACGGTGTTAATGAGTACAGTCAGTGGAAAAGCTCTGATCACACAGAGACTTGAACTTGCTCCTGAACTTGTCACACTTAGCTTTTTCTTAGACCTGTTATTAAACCTCATCCTTCTTCCAATGAGGAAAATATACTGTTTTGACCACAATTGATCTCCCTTGTGTGGAATGTTTTTGCATAGTAACAACCACACCAGAGACATGCGCATTGGAAAAGTATTAGTCTGTATATGTAAGTGGGAAAATATACATTTGTGTCAATTAATAGGACTTCCAATTTAGGCAAAGCAGTGAACTTCAAGACTTGCCAATGGGATTTCAGAGGAATATAAGGTGGACTTGATACAAAAGGGCAGGCAATTCTTTTAGTCTTAACAAAGCATTTGTGCATGTTTTTGGAAGGTCTTTACACAATGCACTTAAATGTCATTCACTGCTGCTATGCTGGATAATGTAATCAGCATAGCAATAAGGTAACCTGCATTACAAGCATTACTTTGTATAATATGCAACCTATTGCTAAACAAGAAAGCACTTTGTACTTCAAATTTGATGCTGGTTGTAAATGATCATGAAAAGACAATGCAACTGATCAAAGAGGATTTGTTTTTAAAAATAATTTTATAATATGGTTTTATGGTTTGAGGATTTTAGTAAGACAGACATCATATTTGTCATGATTCTGTGTGGTTGATGGGGGACCCCAGAGAGATAGGGGCAGCAAGTGGTGTTGAAAGCTTAACAAAAATGATGAACAAAATTGTGAAATTGTAAGGAATGCAGGGAGCCAGAGTAGAAAAAAAAAAAAAAAACAGGAACCAGGAACAAAAATCCAGCAGAGTAAATGGGGGATATAACTGGATAATAACTGGAGGATTCAGCAAGCAGTGACTGAGAATGAGTAGTATGTTTACTGGGGAGTTTGATTATAGAACAAGAAACAGATGGCTGATTAGAAACAGGGTGCAGGTGTGTGGGTAGAGAGCCGAAGGCAGGCTGAGGAGACAGAAAGAGAGAGCTAAAATAGCACAGGAGGCAAGGGAGAGAATACAAACTGGGTAACTAGGTAAATAAATCTAACACCAAAGAATGAGTAGACATAAGGAACATAACAAAACTAGAGTAAGGTGGAATAATTAGACTCAAGAAATACACATAAACTAGAATCACTAAGAAAGAACTGAACTAAAGTAAAACAGAAACACGACTGATCTAATCAAAGAAAGACACTAGGAACTCAGAATAATAATGAAGCTAAAAGAAATGAATCAAAACCTAAAAACAACTCAAAACAAATCAAGGTCCTGGCAATATTATTCATTGTTTCTCTTCTGAGCATTAATATTGTTTATTCCATACAAATATTGGATTGGTTTTTTAAACAGTTTTCTATGTTTGTTTTTTGTGGAAAGCCATAATTTCTCCATTTTCCCCCTCAAAGAAGCCCCTTTATGTGATCATACATAAAACTTTCAAATATCTTGGACAAAAAAAAGAAAAAAAAAAAAAAAAAAAAAGTTCTCTGTTTAATTTCCAGTATGGTGTTACTTTTAATGTTCAGAGGCAAGCGTACTTTATGCAGTGTGTGATAGGAATCAATAATAAAACTTTAAACTGACTAATTACCAATATGTAGATGTGACTATTTCATCCACCTCATGTTTCCATATTAAATTATACATTTTATACCTGCATGCAGCAATACCATAGACAAGTCAGTAGCAGTCAGTTGGAGTAGATTTATTATTTTTTTTTTTACATGACAACTAGGCATCATGCAAATTTTTCATTTTAATGCTAATTTTCTGATTTTATCTTCTGTCTTTTCCTTACCTCTCCACCTCTTGCACTGCCAGGAGAGCACCTGCGCATTTGTCCCCAGGGTTACACCTGCTGCACCATCGAGATGGAGGACAATCTGGCTACGCTCAGCCGCAGGGAGATGGAAGGACTTCTCAGAGAAGCTAAGCGACCCTTGCAGAGCTCACTTTCATACAGTTACAACACCTTCAATGGTGAGTAAAAGCATTCACAATAAGTGCAAGCAGCTGCAAAGCATTCCGTGTGATGCATCTCTTTATATATTCAGTAAGGGGCACGACCAGATAAAATGTTTTTCACTCCCTGGAGAGAGATAATATTGTCTATAAAAGAAAATGATATAGAGCAAAAGGGGAAATTATTTCAGTGAATTGTTAAAGTGGAAGGTTCCTCCTGGAGTTCACTTATCATGCAGCAAGGCTCAAAATACACCTCACAGTGTTGGCTTGTCAAGGTTCTGGTGTCAATCACAGCATTAACTAACAGGCCGGATGTTTTTCAAGCGATTTGCATGTTCAACAAATCACTGTTTTACTGCCTTCTTAATGCTTTGTCATCAGTAAAACGTTAGAATGCAGCTTTTTTTTTTTTTTTTTTTACCAAATCCAGGAATTTATTGTGGCGTACGAAATGACTTGGTAGTAGAGTGACTTGGCAAGCTAACACCAACGAATCAACATCATACAGCACAATGAAATGGGACAATACTGTCTAAGTAAGACTTGAGTAAAAAAAATAACCTATAACAACACAGAGAAAACTCATTGATGAATGAGTCAGTGTCCTGTATAGTGACATCCACATCCGGTCCAAAAGGGATACTGATGGTTGTACTCCAAACGTATGAAAAAGTCATTTTCATTGTTGAAGATTGATGCAACAAGGTAATTATCTGTCTCCAATGACTTACTACAGTTAATGGAAGGGTGCTTTTTCTGCTCCACTTCTTACTCTTAGACAGTTTGTGACAGTAGCTCTGTTGGCCAGAGCTGAGCTTGACTAGTTAGTCTGACCTTTTCAGAGCACAGTGATTAGTGGCTGAGTGAGACTTGTTTGCTTTTCTTCCATGACTTTGTGCTCTGCTTTCTCCTGACCCTTTCTTTTTACTCTCGGCACTGAGTTGCAGTGCCAAAGGGATACCGTCACTGCACCAAAGCAGAAATACGCAATAATATGTGCAGGCCAAGAACCTGTCAGAGATATGAAGTTTTATTCAAAGTTTGTTTGTGTTTTCCAGCAGTTTTCAAAGTTTCCCATTCTTTGGATAAACATGTCATTTGGCATAACAGGAACCTGCAAAAAAAAAAAAAAAAAAAAAAAAAAATCTAACAAAACTCACATTCAAGCAGCACTCATTGCTACATGTTTTATGTTATTTTTTAAGTAAAAAAAAAAAAAATCAAAGAAAAAAATAAAGGTTGACATATAAGAAACACTTTTGCATGCTTTGCCTCAAAGGTCATTTGGGGATCATTTTGTTCATAGGCTTGACAGACAAGTAGGTGCAAGTTTGTGTGAACTGCTTTTGATATGAAACAGAAAGATAATGAAATTGTTCGTTCATGTTCATCACAAATGCCGCTACAAGCTTTAATCTCCTATTCTCTGCCTTAGGCCTTGGGAGTTTGCAGGGAGGCTTAAAGCGTGTTAAGTGGTTGTGTATCTGGGTTTTGGGGTGTATTATCTTGCAAGAGTAAAAATAATTTAGTTGTAAATGAAGTTGCCAACCCTACAGACTGGGAAGCTTCCTATCTATTAGACATGAGGTTGGAGATGTCTCTTGAGCACGCTTTTCTAGCTAATGGGAAGCAGACTGATTATGAGACGTTTGTATTGGGAGCTGGTATAAATTAGATATGCCGTTTGTCAAATCAGTAAATTTACTTCACTAATTTATTGAAAAGGGTCTGTCATTACATTGCCTATTAGTAACTCCTCACCGTAGGTGGTATTTCTTTGAGTTTGCCATAACCCATAGTCAATTCTTTTGCTAGTTTGCACCTTTATTTTGTATTTATGCATATCTAGTTCATCCTTTATTTGTAACTATAAATGTATGGTTTCATCATACCTATAAACCATGATGTTTCAGTTAATATTTGCTGTCATTAGCATAAACTTGTTCATATCATAGAAATGGTCATAAGAAATGTTCTAATCTCATGTGTATTGTGTATCATATTGGAAATTTGATATTACAATATTTTGTCATTTATGTTGTTTCTGATCCTAATTTAAATAGGTTGACTCTTATATAATATGACCGTGACAAAGTCCAATTTACCTTAAGTTGGTTGATATATTTATCATACAGTTACATTTTTCATATCTAAACATCTCTGTCACAACACTATGAAAGAGTGGCCACACATGGATTTAAAATCTACTTTCTTATCAACTAACGTGTCCATCTCATATCCGCCGACATTCTCCATCGAACACTGGATTCATGTAAACTGTCATCATCCATGCCCTATTATGATACACACTTCCTGTTTTTAAGAGAGGAAAGCTGGGCCTGATTATTGTTAATATATTGAGTGACCCTTTGTGGAATTATGAGTTTGAGGAGTTTCCGTCAGGAGTTGCAGCACAATGAGGCGCTTTGGCTGAAAACAGACATGTGGCACACATAAGACCCAAGATCAAGAAAAGGGAGTTGCTGTGTTCTCTCTGAATATGTGGAGACCTTAGAGCTCCTGTGGCTTGGCTGTTCTACACTGGCTTTACTTTTTTCTTAGACAGTGGTTAACAGGGTATTTTCAATGTTGTTCTCAGCGGAAGCCTGTCAGTTTGACTAACGTCCTTATTGTTCAGGCGAATATCTGAACATTGTCTACTCTAGGCACTGTTTCTAGAAAGAGCTGAGCCATAGACAGGGGTTAAATAGACTGTGATATTTTATATTTTTTGTAATTTAAATGACAGTTTGTCAGTCACAGTGCTTCTTGTTAAGGACACTCTGTGTTTTGATAGCTTAAGGTTGCACAGGAAACTAGTTGCAACTGTTTCAGCCAACAGTTAGACATATGTTGCTGTTGACTAATGGCTGTTCCTTTTATAGGTGTCATGTTCATTTGAAGCTAGAACAAAAAAAATGATGTTCTGGAAGAATAGAGTTTTAAACAGACAACTTTTTTTTGTTCATACGACCAGAAAAACATGCAGTGACATTGTACCATATTTCTATTCCTGCACATCTGGCTGTATTTAGCAGGGTGTGGGCTAACTAGCGCCATGTGGCTAAGTGCAGGGTGTTACTGTTCCAACCCAGTATGGCTAGGGCTTTTGAGTCCAGGAACTTTGGAAGAAGCACCAGCAAAACCACAGATTAAAGGACCAGTATGTTCACATGCAGATGGCTCTGGGCATTAAGTTTGTACAATCTGTAAACGTCCGTCCATCCATCCATCCATCCATCCATCCATCCATCCATCCATCCATCCATCCATCCATCCATCCATCCATCCATCCATCCATCCATCCATTTTCTGAACACCCTCCTCCCTTAGTGGGGTCGGGACTCTGTAAACGTGAACATACAAATATGTTTTTTATGCATTTTTTTTTTTTTTTTTCAGTTTCTAATGTCCGGCGTTCTATATTAGCAGCCAGGTATGCCAGACAAAAGCCCCAAAACCTGACATTTGGCATTTGGCCAAATACTGGCGTGAGTGATTTTTGGATTTGTGAAGAGACGATGTGTTTGTGTGTGCGTGCGTGCGTGCGTGCGTGCGTGCGTGCGTGCGTGCGTGTGTGCGTGTGTGCATACTTGTTTATGCATGCAGGTGTCTGTGTTCCTGTTGGATTCCTCCTTCACTGCTCAAATGCATTTGAAATTAAAATAATATTGTTTGCTTGTGTCAGTGCTAGGTTCAAGTGAGAGAGCCATGTTAACAAAGCAAGTATCTGACACCCTTTAAGCAGTCACAGTTACGACAAAGCATGGAAGCATGGTAAAAGTTTTACATTCTGCCAATTCTGCAAACAACCCCATATGCTGTTTTTTAATGTCCTCATTTGACTTGCTTTGAGTTAAAGAGCAATAAAATCTGGAAATATGTGAAACATGCCAGCCAAGTTCAGCCTTATGTCGAACTTAAGGGGTAAATAGTTTTTGTTTCGGCAAAATGTTTGTCTTCAACAGAAAATGAGAGAAGCATTTCTCAAAATAAAACAAAACAATAGATTTGTTTGGGGTGGAAGAAAATCGGTTTTATTACCAATGGCATATTTAAATTATTTCTAGACTCCTCTTTAACCTGTTTAAAGAACACTGTATGCTATCACAGTAGTCTGTCTCTTGTTTTAATTCCTTTTAAAGCTTTCTTTAGTATTTGTGGATGTATTTTCTACAACATGTTTTTTGGCCACGTCGTCAACAGGCTAGGACTGTCCCTGCATATGCATGGCCCATCATGCGGCTTTTCAAGCCAGGCTCCTGATTTCTAAAACTGGCCCGTGAATTGGAGCCCAAAGCTTGGTGAGATGATAAAATCAAAGAGTACACCATACACAGATACCAGAAGTTAAGATTAGTCGGGAAGCCAAAACCAGTCGATACTTAGGATTGTATCAAGACCTCCCTTCTGTTACGCTCCAAATGAATGAATCCAGGCATACTGATAGGACACTATAGTCATTAATCTCTATGTAATATAAGGAAAGGCTAATCCACTCCTGTAGTCTACCTACCAAATTATAATTTTCTGCTTTTGGGGTCACCTTTGATAATGTCAGAAAAAGACAAGGTCATCTACTACTATCATTGGGCTTGATTGACTCATTTTATCTGCATGCAAAACACGTCCATGGGGACACAGCATACACTGACCCAATTATGCCAAATACACTTTTGCTCTTTAGTAGTGATGGCACCTTGGGAGAACAAAATGATGAAATGAACAACTGAAACATGGAAAGAGAAGTACCTATGTAAGGAAGAAGGAAACTGGGGCAAGATGTGGAAAGCAAATTAAGATAGGAAGAAAGAGAACAAAAGAACAGAAATGATAAGAATAAGCAATTGTGTGAATGTTATAGAAAACAGATAACAACAACAGAAACAAAAAAAAGATGTCGCATAAGGGAACCAGATAAGTAGTTGAAGAAAAAGGTCTTAGTAAACGGTGCGTTATGCCAGCTAGAGCTTGTTTTGAGAGGGACAAGAGAAAGGAATAAAGGCTTCCATTGAGAGCTTGTGATAAATGGTGTGCGTTATGTGATGTGTTGGCTTGTTTAATGTAGGGCACCTTTTAATAGTATCTAAATTCTCTCTGAGGTTTTAGCAGTGTTCCTGGGGCATAGTGTGTTTGTGATAAGTGTTGTCATTGGTGGAGAGTCAGTCTGACTCAGAAGCAGTCTAATGGCTCCCAGAAAGCCATTTGTCCATAGACAGTACTCAGGACAGAAACAACATTTGGTTTGGCCTGTTATGTTTATTCTTTTGTTGTCCTTGCAAAAGTAGGACAATAACAAAGGCCAAAACTTTAACAATCTTTTGTATGTTTAGATTGGGGGGGTGTATTTTTGGTTTAAGTGAACTACTATGCAGTAGTAACGATTACTACAGTTCTTATTTTCATACATACGTTCTCCTAACCACTCTCCAGAAATCTCCATCCAGGTGAGTATAGAGAAAAAAGCTGAAATAGTGGTAGAGTTTATGGTAATAATTTTTGGAAAAATGCAAGTTGAAATACAAGGAAAGAACATTCTTGCTTTTACAGTAGCTTGCCAAATGTGTTTGACTAGGTAGTTAAGAATGACTTGGTAAGGTGTGGAAGGTGGATAAGAGGATATGGGTAGTGTAATTTTAAATGTCTAAAATATGTTTACATAATGAAAAATGTGGTTTTCTCAAAAGAGAAATCTATACTGAGAAATGTGTACTTTCTCAGTACTTAACCAACATCTCTTCAGAAATAGCCACATACACTGTTACTTTAATATTAGAATAAATGTACAAGTTTTTTTTTAAACTTTGTTGTCATTTTGTATTTTTATCTTATTTTCATTTTGGTTGTTGTCTTAGCGACCGTATTCAGACGTGAGCCATTTACACATAAAATGCACGTTCGTTAGATTTTGAATATCCTGGAGCAATTTTGACCAAGTAAAATATTTCCAGTACACAGGCCCATCACATTAATCTTTCTTTGAGTCATGCATGCAGTTCACATGCACAAGTGAGAAAAATCTTGGGGTTAAGTAGAGTGCTTGGCAGCTTGAAGAGCCTCTCCCCAACCTCCATTTTGTCCCCCCCAATTTTCTTTCCTAGTATTATTCAAACTCAAAGTATGGGAAATACTGAAGACAGAAATACTGCAGCGGACACAACCATGCGCAAGAGTTCATGTGGAGTTGACTATAATTGAAAGCTCAGTATTGATTTGTACAAAGACAGTTGCGGTTTATAGAACGGAGCATCTTCACACATAAAACCAGTCATTTTGTGGTAAGTAAAGATTTGTGTCTTTTAAATGATGATGTATGTGTATTTGGTAAAGTTTAGAAGCAGTGGGAGGCAAAAAGCAAGAAAGTTAAAATGAGTATTTTATATGTCAAAGAGCCTCGGTATGAAGTGTGGGGTGATTACACATGTAAGCATTAACTCCACTCTCATCTCAGGAAGACATTCATTAGGGGATGCATGCCTCATTTACCATTTTGTTGGTGTGTGTGTGTGTGTGTGTGTGTGTGTGTGTGTGTGTGGGGGTGTGTGTGTGTGTGTGTGTGTGCATGCTCAGACAACAGTGTGGTTGTCGCTTTGTGCATTTCCCTTATCCAGTGCCACATTCATTAAATACGGTTTGTACCGATTTTTAAAATATGTTGCTCAAGTGGTTGGTCTCTGATGCAATGCAGAATTTTACAGAATCTATTTTTTTTAAAGAAATTATGATGTCAAAGCAAAAGAAAATACACACTTAAAAATGAAAAGTGCTCTGTGTTTATTTATATTTACCTATAATTAATCCATAGCTGCAACTGCTGCTTGTGGGAAATTCACTTTTGTCTTTCTTCCATAAATGTAATATTGAAACATCTTGTGTCTCAGTTTGTGTTTACGTGCACAATCAAACATTTTCCAAATTCTCTTTGACCACAGAGATCATATGGAGATGTTGGCAATTCAAATAGCCTTTGGATATCTTCTGCCCCAAAATATCTATATATAGTATTTGCTTCGAATTTCCTAACAGTCTTATTTTTAAAGTTCTTTTTTTTTTTTTTTTTCAAAATTCTTAGAAGGAAAACTTCTTAATTTGGTTGTATCATCTTGCTGTTGCCTAATTGTCAGCACTCTTTATCTAAAGTGTTTTAATCTCTATTTCCTATGTGACCTAAAAGTAACTAGACGACATCTTTATGCAATACACAGTGGTAAACAATAAAACGTTTTGTTTTTTTTTCCCTCTCCGGTCTGGGTGGGAGTTAATTGCTCTGTTTCTGCCAATAAGTGGTCTACTGTGGGAAAAGTTTTTACACTAGCCTGCTAAATGTGTTTGTCGACTATGTAGTTAAGAATGACTTAAAGAGGTGTAGATCCTGGACAAAAGGATATGGATAATTTTAAACACGTAAAATGTGTTGGAAAAAAATGTAGTCGTGAGCATTCTTTGTAGAACATAGGTAACATTGGTCCTATGTGCTGGCATTTCTTTGCCTGTTTATTGAGTTCAGAAAACATTAGATAAATCCTGAATAGCATTCAGTCAATCAATCACGATTATTTGCATAGTACATTTTAGCAACCAGCAAGTTCCGAGTGCTTTACTTCATCAAAACACAGAAATACAAAGTCATAAAAGGCACCATGTAGTCAACAATTGAGAAAACCAAAAACAAACATTGTATTTTGATGAGTGCCATCATCAAAATCATCAGTACACATCAAGTAGTTTGGTCAACATTTCATTTATAATGGTTCAAAAGCAAACTGTTGGTTTTTAGTCTAGACTTAAACTCAATGTTTCAACTGTTACGCAGTAGTTTGTTCTAGATTTGTGGTGCATAGAAGCTGATTGCTGCCTCTCTACGTTTGGTTCTGGTTCTGGGGATGTAGAGCCAGAACCAAACTTAAAGACTTTTTTTATATTTTAAAGCCTTGAGATACTCCGGTCACTGCTGTTGTGTAAAACGAGCAGCCGGATTGCAACAAAAATGTTACGATTTAACCAGAGAGCAGCCCTGTGTAAATGGGGTATAAGTAGGCCAAATTCTTCCACAGTGATGTGAAAGACTTATTAATTACTCATTAATTGTTGCAAATGACTGTGACAGCTGTTTCTCCCAAGGGTGGCACAGTTTATTCAGTTTAGTGGACAGTTACATATAGAGCCAGGCTGGCATTCCTTACTATTAAGGAATAAACGTTCCTTTTAAAACTTTTAAAAACTCAGTTTTGCAGTTACATCAAAAGTTTATTATTATTATTATTATTATTATTATTATTATTATTATTATTATTATTATTATTATTATTTTTATGGGTCACTGCTCTTTGAATTAAAATGTCAGTTTTTTTTTTTCTGTTTTGGACACTCTTCTTTTGATTTTTTTTTTCTTTTATTTTTTCCCCAGACAGTTATATAGGCTGTATTTTTATGCCAGTCACGGTCATGAATAATGGTACTGAACAACCCCTCAAACTAAATTGACATAGTACCTTATCAAGAATACGTTCAGAGCCTTGAAACTCATTACTGTTCAAGTGAAAATAGCATAGGACTCAGACTTAGCATTTAGGTACAAAACTTTTTGATTCCTGTCAATACTGAAGTAAAACCTCTAGACAAACAGACTAAGTATTACTTTTTATCTTGAGTCTGTTAGAACATCCCAAATATAGCTAGAAAAAAAGCAAAACATAGGAACTTGTCACAAAAAACAGGCTTTTAAAGTCACTTTTTTAAAGAAAAATTTGCTACAACTTATGTTCACTGACATTGTTTTGAGCATGTATCAAAACAAGAGAAATTAGAATGGGTGGGTGGGGGTGGGGGGGTTTGTCAATACATTTGTATGCACCAGGGTGCAGACTAACATTAAAATGCAAACTCTAAAAAGAGAAAATATTAATAAAAAATTATCGGCAGGGCTTTGTTTCATCTGAAATAAAACATGAATCACCCACATCTCAGGAGGTTGTCTTTACCAATATTCTGGGGTAAATAAAGAACAGTATTTAGCCACAGTAGGAGTTAAGTTTTTACCTCAAAGCATGGTGAATGCTTAGAAGTAGCAAACGGCAGCTGAGAAGCAATCGTGTTTCTTTTTAATAACGAGTGGGTAAAGCAGAACTGATATATGCTGTCTAACAAGGCCAGTGCTTAAATTATGCTCCACAGATGGGGCAATATGAGCTTAGCATATTAAATCCTTATGTAACGCGGATGCTGAGATTGACTTTAGCTCTTTTAAATGTGGGTGTTATACTGTATTTCTGTTACAGTAAAACTTCACTTCATATGATCCTATTTCTGCAATCAGTGATGTTTTTTTTTTTGTTGTTGTTGTTGTTGTTTTTAATGGATGTTTATTTGTGAGCGCCTCCGAAACTTGTGGCTGAAACTTGCAGCGTTTCGGAAAATTCTTAAATGCAGAAAATAAAAAGTTGTTTTACAGGAGAGATATCAGTTCTGCCGTTTTAAAGTGTGAGCATGCCTCCACATAAAATAAGCTATAATAAATAGTCAAATAAGTTTTCTCAGTCAAATAAAATCCCGTCCAATTACTTTATCCATTATGACGTTTTCTGAGCTAAAACGATTTGCTGAACAAAGTGGCCAACTACAAGGCTACATTTTACGGCAATATACCTATGTTTTTAAATGTGCCTATTGTTTGTGTTTCTCAGGCTACATGGATGATTTAATGAACAGGTCCATGGTCACCCTTCAGGACACGTTCACTTCAACATGGGGCTTTTTATACACCAGAAATTCCCAGCTCTTTCAGGACCTGTACCAGGATTTGAAGGACTACTACCGGAGTGCCAGTGTCAATCTGGAGGAGGTGCTGAATGAATTCTGGACCAAGCTGCTGGAGAAGCTTTTTTACCAAGCAAATAAGCAGAGTTCAATAGGTATGCTATTTCAGCAAATGAAGTCTTTTCTTGTGTTGTTTCGAAGTTTGTGATGTGGAGTGCTTTGCATATATGAAAGAAGTAGGTCGATCAAGCTGCACTATTCATACAAAGTCCTTTAAAATGTTGTATCATTACCACCAAAAAATGCACCAGACGGCTTAGAGATACAAGTTTAGGTTATAAAACAATATCTCTTCTTATTTGAGAAAGCAATGTTCAATCCATCTTTCAAAGACGGAAGAAGGATGGTACAATCGCAAACCCACATGGGCATGGGAGTCCACCCAAACTGTTGGACTGTAAAAAAAAAAAGGACATTAATCAGAGAAGCTCCACAAATCTATTCTTTGTAAAAGATTGGCTACAAAATGATTGGTAGAACAAAGCCGCAAGAACTCCTGTTTGTAGTTTACCACAAGCCATAAAGGGAGCACAGCAAATATGAGGAAGAACAACAGATGAGAAAGAGGTACAATGTTTTATATAGTCATGTTTTCTTGAGGGTCCTTGGAAAAAAAAAATACTTCAAATAATTTAATTTTAATCACTTTACAACAGTATGGCACCATGAACTTAAACTGATTGTTTGTTCTTTTTTTCTGGTCGGAAAAACAAAAATATTTCTTATGGTCATGACACAAAACCAAACTATGAACTGGAGCTACAACCGAATAATAAAAATTAAGCAATTTAGCATGTTTATCATTTTGTCTTTTTTAAAGTTATTCCAAGGAGTGCATGAAAAACTAAGATGATGTCAATTTAAATCATCATTCATAATCATTTATTTTACGTCAAGCTCAACGAATACATAAAGTTTTACACATGTTTGCCTGTTACAGACGAGGATTACCAGGAGTGTGTATCAAAGAAAATAGAGACACTTCGACTTTTCGGAGAGGCCCCCCATAAAATGACGATACAAGTCACTCGTACGTTTGTGGCGGCTCGTGCATTCCTCCAGGGACTGCAAACCAGTCGAGAAGTGGTGGGCAAAGTGTTACAGGTAAAACTTCCAGCTCTCAAATCTACAGATCCTACTTTAAAGAGTCCTGTTTTCCACGTCTTGGAAGAATATTTTTACTGCTTTTGAGAAAAAGCCATTTCTGCATGTTTTTTATAACGCTGTGTTTCGCTTGCTAAATTTTTGTGCCATATCTCCTTAGTGATGCTGCTTGCAGCTAAGCTCAAACGGACTCACTCATGCAAGTTTTACCACTCCTTATGAGCAGTATGAAGCTGTCGCAGATTAATGTCGGTAGAAGCCATAGACTCTATAAAATATGTCTTGCAGTGTGGACCATCAGCCCTTGCAACACCAGTTAATGTCAACTCTAAACTGAAAAATGTCTCCCGGGGACGTAGGGAGGGTTAATATGTCCCAAGATAAATGGTTTTCTCTGCACATAACACAAGAGTAAGGTTAAGATTGGAGCAAGACCAAGAAATCATTTCGTGGGGGGAGCCATTTTTGATGCCGCAGCTAAAATGATCTCTTGTCAGGTACTGGATTAGGAGCGTGGTAAGAGAAGTAACCCGAAGAGGAATGCAGACATGCACTTAGCAAAGAAAGGCATGAATTTAACTCATATTGTTTGTTGATGAAAAATCACAAAGTAATGTACAAGAAGCATGAAACCAGAAATTCCAAGACAAAAACCAACTGAGACTTCTTATAGGGAATTTTGTCCATTCTTTCAGATTTCTCTCGGAGATTTACAGTATTGCTGGCACAGGAAGAAGGTATTTCCAGTGTAAGCAGCATAATTGAATTATTTATTGGATCACACCGGATCACTTCTTACTTAAAACTCAAAATTAAAAGAATAGGACTTAGACTCGTTTCATGACTCGAGTGCCTTGAGGCATGCAAATCAACACGGGATTTTTATGCCTTTGCCTGTGATTTGACTTTACAACTGAAGTTATAAAGACATGTGGGTGTTGAAATGGACAAAACAAATGGACCAAGTCAGGACAGAATTTAAATGTAGCTCTCTCACAGAGGTCTTAAGCAAAACTGACATAAATCAGCAACTTTTCAATGAATGTGTGCATGACTACGAGAAGTCATGCACAAAAGTCGGCATATTGCTTGAGGCTGGTTTGATTAGAAAATAAAAGCGTGCAGTAAAAGATGATAGCGTCTCTAAAGGAAAATGAAAATAAAGCTTAATTAAGTGGCAGATGGTAAAAATAAATGTTGATTGACAGAAAACAGATCAGAGCCAGAACTTGCGGTCTCTCTTTCCAGTAGCGCATTAATTCCACCCTTCCTTTGCTCTAGGTTATGCCAGCTGCTTTGTCCTTAACTTTCTCTGGACTGTTTTATTCCCTCGGGAAGGGGAATGTTGGAAGTAGGCCATGTGCTGCACAGCTGACTCCGGAGGCAAGCGGTCTAGATCGTCTCGCTCTGTAGCGCAGCGAGAATGGGAAGTGTAGATATCCGTGCTAATTACAGAAGAGAGACAAGTACTGAGAAAGGTATAAATACTGAGCTATGGGCCAGACAGAGGTGGGGTAGGAAGCGTTGTAAGGTTGAAACTGAGACAAGTAAAGTATGTCCCTCTTAAAGATACATTAACATAAACTGGATAGCTTTCAACCACATCTTATGCAGCGTAATCATAGGGAGTATTCAGAAAGAGTCATTTGACAATTGCACCTATGTGCATCACACATGTAAATGGAGAAATGTGTGAAAATGGTGCTCAACTTAGAGGATATTCTACTTTTCTCATTAGAGAATTATCATTCACAGGATAGACAGAGAACTTACACCTTCATTAATTCTAATTTGGTCATAATGTTTGCACTAAAATGATTTTATTGCAACCATTGAACCAGCTATTTATCTTTTAAAATATACATTCAATTGTATTTATTTCCAGGGACTCTTGGGGGATTTTAGACACTGTGGGTAAGTAAATATTTTATGTAGCAACTAGGTTTCGGCCAGCATAATATCGTGACTTCATGGTATTTTGGAAGTGACACAACAATTTTAAAGAGCTAATGACTCAACGATCTTTTCCTTTAATTTGGAACAGCTGGCAAACCATTCCACAGCTTGCCAAATTTAGCTTTGAAATACTGTTACCTTCGGATAAGTGATTCATCGCCCAGTGGAAGTTTTTGCATTAAATTGCATCCTGGCTGAGCACCTCTTTCTGCTCCCCCTCAACTAGTCAAAACAAAGATAATCATCTGAGAATTTGGGACTTGTGTGTAGTTCCACACAACCCATTGCGAAAACACACTGAATGTTTTCCATGACATTTGTTTGTCTTCTTTAACTGAAAAGCGAGACGCTGTTTTTCAGTGCGGAGATACTCGCAAAGAGAGAAATCAGCAATAAGGTAATTTTTTTTTTTTTTTTTTGGCTGAAGTTGGATTTCTTTGGGGCTCGGACCCCAGCAGAAAGACGTCTATGCTAAGAATCGCCACCAGCTTGAACGGACAGCTTAGGGCGAAGATTAGGATCTTCTTCCCTCGGGGCCCTGGTGGTGGAGTGGAGGCCGTAAAGGAGAGGAGCCTGAAAATCCTGGGAGTGTGAGGGTGGAGATGGGGTGGAGACAGGTTGAAGCCGGCCCAGGAAGCAGAAGGATCCATGGATGACAAGGCTTATGAGGGGATTCTTGAGCGTTGATTGGGCGCAGCAGAGACAAAGTAATTGGATGATGCAGGTGAGGCTGGAGAACGTCTCCCGGCTTGAATTTGCACCTCGGATTAATTTCTCCACCAGCTGAGCAATGCACATAAAAATGAGAGCGAAGGGTCAGCACTAGTTAACTTTGTGCACCATACAGTTAACTAGTGTCCTTGTAGGACAAGAACATTAAATGACACAGAAAATGTTAGTTATTCCATCACTTTTTGTCTTTAAAAAGGACCTTAAGCCATAGTTTGAAATTGCTGCTGCTTAAGATCAGAGCATAACTTGATACTGATAACCAACTCATCAAATACACAGAACAAGTATTTTTAGGAGTATTTATCACAGCTTTGCCATCATTTGTGTTCTAAAGGTCATGTTTAATCCACATTTATGTCAGCAAAAATGATAATAACCTTAGATGACTTCACATTGCTTGTTTCATCCTACCATGTGTCTTTTTGGTATTCTGCCCAGTCATTGCTGTATACTCAACTAACTCTTCTGCTCACTTAAAAGCAATCATCTGACTCATCCCTAGCTAATGAGGGCAACGGTATGGATGGAAAAATGGGGGGAAAAAAGGAGTGAAGGAATGAGGGTGTGACTCATCTGTCATATGAGTTGAAATTGTGTATGGAAATGTGTTCTTTTTTTTTTTTTTTCCTTTTCTGTTTCCCTTGCACTTTATGTTGCCTCTCTAGCACAAATGACATGTTACTTCCACTTATTCGGATTTAAGAAAATCTAGATTAATTCCCTAACATGGCAAGTCAATCTTTTTTTCAGTTACCTTAGTCACTTCTGTGGAAAGTTGACTTAAGCACATTCCATATTTTGCAGAACCATCAAAGCGTCTTTGTCTTTTCTCGCAGTCATGCATTATTGCCCTATTTTTACTCCAGATTTGATCAAATGTGGCTTTAACTGGGACTTTACAACTGGAGGAGGAGTTTCCAGTAAAAGCATCAAGCTGGCCCAGATGTCAGCTTAGAAGAGCTTTGTATGCGTAGCTGGGCTCATTCCACCTCTCTCCTTCTTTCTCCCTCTTGCGCACAGACACACACACTCCATACTTCTTGAGGTTTTGTATGCATAGCTGTACTCTCTTGTGAACAGAGCTTACTGGTATTAACCCAGTTTCACTTTTCACGCACGAAGGCCTCTTCCCCTTTGGGAATGGCCTTGTGGAATAGGAAGAGAAATGCAGGAGGCAGGGAGGACAGAGCGGGGGTCTGAGAACACTTGTATCAATGTCAGGGTCTTTTCATCACATGTAAAAAAGAAAAATACATTTTAACTTTGTGGTTTCCAAGGGAACAGTGCTAAGACGAAATTACGGTGCAAACTCAAAGTTCGCCACAGGCGGTGACCTCCTACTGTTTTGTGGCTGTTACTGCCTCAGCCAGAAAAAAAAAAAAAAAAAAAAACATAAAATAAAGCTACTTTTATATAACCCAATTTTCATTTCTCCAGTAGAATAAAAACGTATCACAAAAAAAAAGAGAGATCAAATGTCCAGGTTCATTAACTTTTGATTTCAGGTTTTCACTTCAGAAAAGCGAGACGTGTTTGACAGAACAGTGTTTTTATTTTTGTCATGATGGGACCAAAGTTTATTTTAGCCTTTGCCACAGGTGCCTCTGAGCCAGAAGTGCGTGGGAGCTATTATGAGGATGACTTACTGTCCCCACTGCCGTGGCATGCCCACTGCTAAACCCTGTGCCAACTACTGCAGCAACGTCATGAAGGGCTGCCTCGCCAACCAGGCTGACCTCCATACAGAGTGGTCACATCTAGCAGGTCAGAGGACACTCACACGTACTCATACACATTGCGAGGATACTGTAAAAGCACACGTGTTCATACCAAAACATTTCTGTGCAAACCTTTTGATTTGGCGTGGAGCGTACGAGTACAGCATCTTTTTACGGCTTGACCCAACCTTTATATGAACAACTTAAGTGTATATTCTGCTGTCAACAAACATCAAAACAAAGTAGAGTTGAGTGAATTCCAGCTGCCACTAAAATCTCATTGGAGATGGATTCAGGAGTCTTAACTTGTACAACATCAACACCATCTTTTAGGGGAATATAGAGAGTCAATGCAACGTCTGAAGTGTTTGGTGCTATAAATGCATAAGACTGGCAAAACAAATCTGTAAAACAATATCATAACATAACTTCTGTTCAATGATTTCCAACATTGTATGGAAGCCATTGAAAGAATGGGACAAAATATCTTTCAATTTAGCCTGTCTCCACTGAATGTCCCATTCTTTTAAAGTTGTCCCATATAACTTTGCAAATCATTAACTAGCAGGTGTGTCATATAATTGCTTACCTTCCGTAGTACGATACTCAAGCACCAAGGATTCAGTTCACCTGCATATCTTCTCATGATGTCTGTTTATTAACACGCTGTGTTAATTAAAGTTGCTGAACAGATGAGCAAAATTTTTAACTAAAAAAACAAGTTATTCTGTCATTGTTTCTTACTTTTTTAATGCTTTACAGATACAATGATTGAGGTGGGAGAGCGCCGCTTGGATGATGTGGAAAGCGTGATCCTTTACCTCCCAAATCAGATATCAGAAGCCATGTTTAGTATGATGGATAACATGGAAACCATCAACAGCAAGGTGAGGTTGCACTTTGATTTACACATGGAGATTTAGCTAGAAAGTTTCTTTTTTTATTACAAATTAAAAAAAAAAAATGATGTACTGATCCATCAAGTATCTCCTGCTTACCCGGGTCTGGGTCGCAGGGACAGCACCATTAGCAAAGGGGCTCAGACTTCCCTCTTCTGTGCCACTTATGCTAGCTCCCGAGAATAACCTTGCAGCAACCCCTATAGCATGACCTGAGGAACGTGGTTGTAAGCCATCTGAAGAGATGAAAAAAACAACAACTGGACTGAACGACCAAACTCCCCTGGATCTCTGAGCTGTTGCTTGATGGAAAAAAAAAAAAAAAAAAAATCTTGTTTACCTTTCAATTCTCAGGACAGAAGCTAAACAGCTTCTCCTGGATCTGAGACTCGACAGACTGCCAAAGTCAAAGAGTAAAATTCAACCAGATATTCAGAGGCGTCCTATAGTATGCATAGTAGGGACACTCTCCTTGGTCCTCTTACTTACAAATTGTTAACGCGTCCATGTCTACCGCTCTGCAGGTGTGGTCTCAATTCTCGAGGTGACTATCACCCTTGTGTCTACAAATGGGGACCAACCGACCCCACACACGTAAAATTTGTATCATTTGCCACAGTCCTCTACTTTTGCCTCAGTCCTCGTCGCACAAGGCTTAAAGAGGAATGTCAAAACTTCTGACAAGGAATCGTTTAACTTCTACATTGCAGTGACTTCTGAAGTGGTGATGGAATCACCTTCTCTTGAGTCCTGAGCCCTGCATCCTTCCAGGAGAAAACGTGCCTTGTTTCCACTGAGCAGCGTGGCACTGCTCAGTGTCTTTTGGTTTTTCTATTTAGCCCAATTCCATTGTAAAAACGGCCCATTCAGTCAAACCCGAACCACACCACTCTTGGACCTCCTTTAGTTGTAAGTTCATAGGACAGAGGCCCAGTACGACTCGGTTGGAGCTGCTGGCGTCACACAACATAGTCTGTTGATCTGGAAACAGAAAAACCTGTTTCATAAGACTCCTATTTTCACCTGCAGACTGCTGTGTTGCTGCTGAAAGTAATATTTACTTGAAAAGTAATTTAAAGTTTTCAAAAGCTTTAAAAAATGTCAAGTGTGTTTGCTAAGGATGTAAAAATAGCATCATGGATAAAAAGTCTCCACTGCCTGATGTATATTGAAGTACTGTCTATTATGTCTAGTCTTTCCACAGTCTTTGTTTACATAATACACTGAGCGTCTCTCGCCACATTGACGCTATTGTACTGCTTCTTATATCTAGTTGAAAATGAATGGTTTTGAGTCATGATGCAATCTGCAGGCAAAGCTTTTATTTACAGGCATAATGATGTTTGGGTAGCAGTTCTATGTGGCATTCAACAGCAACTGGCAATAGTACAAAACAAACTGACTGAGCTGTTCAGTGAAGTTGGAAATCCAGGTGGATGGCAGGAGGAGAAATCAAAGCTTCCTCTGTTCAGGTTTCCTAAAAGGGCCAGTCGGGCCTGGGGTGAACTGTGGCCTGGTGGGAGTGTCTCTCACCTGTGTCAACATGGTAACCACACAGTGTGAGCCTTTGATTCTCATCTCTTTATGAAAGTGCTGTGTTTAAAGTTCAGCGACATTCATTCTGGCATGTAGCTTTATCCCAGCAGTAATGTACTGCAGTATCATTGGTAAAAATATATTGGAGCACATGGTTTTTAATACAGTTTTTAAAAACCCTGTTTGAAATAAATCAAATCAAATCAAAAAAATGTTGCTGTGCACAAAGTTTCAGAGATTTTGTTCTCATGTGTCTGTGTTTCAATACATTGTCTAACCTGTGTAATCGATGGAAACAAGTAAGACTCAATTAGCTGTGAGTCAGGCTACATATGAAAAGCACTGGCTGATTCTTGGGTCATGCAAATAATCAGTGTCATGTGTCATAAAATAAGATTTGTTTCTACTTCTACAAAAAAAAAACAAAAAAAAAAACTGTTGCACAATCACTGAGAGCGCTTAATCGCATCAACCTTTACCCTCCCATTAATTTGTCCCCTTTCTGATGTTTTTCCCCACCCTCTTCTTTTCTTCTTATGTTTTCTTGATTCCACCTCCTCCAGCTGTTCCAGGCATGTGGCAGCCTCAGCGAAGGAGGAGCCACCGGCTCTGGATTTGAAGATATCACCAGTAGAAGAAGGGTCGTAGTCGATGACAGGTTGGGAGGGAGTGTCACCAAAATGGCAAAGTCGGTTAGTATTTCTCTAGCTTATTCTAAGCTTCCCTGGCCTGTTCAGATATGCACATCATTGGAAGTTAAACCCCATTTAGCTTGTGTGGACAACTATTCGATGATTAGAAGATGTTAAATATTAGATGGGCGAATCAGTCAGAAAATGCACACTATTGATGACTAGTGCTGTATTTTCCTCACCCCTTCTATTTTGAGGCTGCTTTGTTACTCTTCCTGTAAAGTATCTCATGATAAATTCTGCTCTAGGTGTCTGACATCAACATGAAGCTGAGAGAAATACGACCATATTGGGTTTCCCTACCAAAAGTCCTTTGCAGTGACAGAGTTGCCAGTGGAACAGGGGCTGAGGACAAGTGCTGGAATGGCATGAATCGTGCCAGGTAATGATGAATGACAAAGGAATTTGTTGTGCGTTTATGCATTTATTTATATTTATCGTTCAGCTTTTTCACAAAAAGTTAATGTTATGGGGATAATTAGATGTAAAACACTGTGCGGTTAGTGATTATTGCCAGCCAGTTTTTTGCCAAAACAAGGAAAATCACTTTAGGAAAAAAAAAAAAAAGACATTATATTAGGAAGGTGGTGATATTTGAAAAGAGGTGGGAAGATATTCCACTTTATTTCACTCCATATTTCCTTCAAGCATAGGATGTTTTATTTAGTGAGCCTTTTCTTGCTATTTCTGACTATTTTGATATTTATCAAACCCAAAAGAGAGCAAACACCAAGTATAAATCAACAACTCTTCTCCTTGCATCTTGTAAAGTTTAACTGTAAATATTTGTTTTCCAATGTGTCATGTTTCAATCTTCCCTGTTCTCTACTTCAAGGGTACTCAACAGTCACACAACGTATAGTTGAGCAAATAATTCTCTATGCAGTGTGCACTCTGTGACTTTTATATTTAATTATAACCCTCTTCCTTTTCACTGAAGGATTTTTGAATATTTTCTAGTACAGGCTGTTTTTGTGCTTCAAATAAGTTTTCTCTAATTCAGTAAAATTCAAGTTTGAAAATTATTATATTTTTTTGAGTTTGTGTAATGTTAGAAAAATGTAGTTTGTTCATTAAGGAACAAGCAAGACAATTTGAGTTTCTTTGAGTGTTTTAATTGCCAACAAGGAAAAGTACACAAAATTGGTATGTCAGTGCACATCTAACAAACAGTTAGGAGGATTATTTTTTCATTCTGAGTCTGTGCAAAGATGCACCAATGGGTGATTTTTGCAGCCTTGAACAAAACACCTGATAGAGGTCAGTTTCTTTCCTCATAGACAGGGAATGATAATGAACAAACATTCTTTTCAACAGATGTCTCTAACTTGCGTCCACGCTGGGTGAACAGGAGGTTAAAATTGCTCAAATAAAAGCAGAGATTTTCTGGATGCAAACGATGATCAGTTATTCTATCACAGTGACAAAATTTTATAGCTGACTCACGCTATATTCACACAACAGGTGTTAATGCTCATTTCCAATTATTTGCTTAAACTGCAATGACAGTTCTGTGTGAACGGTTTAAGTCCCTAAAGCGACCCGCATGTGCAGAGGAGGAACGCTGACATCACACACGAGCGCATTGTTCATGGAGGCAATAGAGGATGGAGTAGCTTATAGATAGATTTTAAAGCCGGCTGTGTTAAATTGGCCTTAGAGTCACTACAAAGTCATCCAAATAAGCATATCAAGGTAAAACTGGTAAAGCTGTGCTGTGACCAGTTATTTACCATGACAATCTTGAAATGCTTACGTTTGCCAGGTATCTGCCTGAGGTGATTGGTGATGGCCTTGCCAGTCAGATCAACAACCCTGAAGTGGAGATCGACATCACCAAACCAGACATGAAAATCCGCCAGCAAATAATGCAGCTGAAGATCATGACCCACCGGCTGAAGAATGCGCTTAATGGCAAGGATGTGGATTTTCAAGATACCAGTGAGTAATTTGAAACATAGTTTTTACCGCCCTCTTTTTTTCCATCCATTACCGTCGTCTGGAAACAAGTCTGTCTGACCTATGCTGATCTAAGCAGTTGGGCTTTTTATGTCTTTCCGTCATTTTTTTGGGAAACCTTTCAAAAAAAAAAAGAAAAAAAAACTAAAATTAGAGGGATTGATTCATTTACTTTGATTAATGACTTTCAAAGTGAGTGACATACAAAAAAATTTTGATTCTTTACCATTTACATTTAGCAAATATATTGTCAACTTCAAATTACTAAATGAGTTACATTTTTCAACATGAAATATATATCAATTTGAATTCCAGTGCTTTTAAAAATGACTTGTCAATGATCTTACTAAGAAAGTTTTTAGAAAAGAGCTGAATTTGCTATTGAAATTGAAATATGTAATATTGTGCTATCATCAGGTCATTGCTATGATGTTTGTGTGTAGCCCTTACATAAAGTTTGTTGGTGGGTTGCCTTTAACTCCTAGCGTTTGACTCACAAGTTATTTTCAAACATTTTAATTAGTCATTCTTGTAATTAAGGAAAGCGTTTCGTAGCTTTCTCTCAGCCAGGTGACTGACACTTCACCACAACTTGAGGGGCAGTGCAGACACTGTATAATGTGACCTGCATTATCATATGTCAAGGTGGTTTTCTTACACTGATGCAGAATCATGGACTGGACACAGCATAAAAGGGAAATGACTTATTTGCAAGAGAAAGGTAACATTGCAGAGGTTTCAGGGGCTCTGGCTTCTGGAACCAGCATCTGTAAAACAAGGCAAAGACTGTTAGACGGGCGATAACTTGAAGTAAACACTGAGATTGTGGAACAGCTTACGGTCTTGTGAGATGGCACAGTCATTGGCGGGGGCAGAGGTTCAACCTGCCCAGACCTTCGTACAAGTTTAGTCCAGAGCTGCATAGAGCGAGTGGTTTGTGAAGGCGAAGTCTGAGCAGTGGAAGGTTTGGAGAGCGGGCAGGCAGGTAGGTGGTTTCAGGTTGACCGAGGAGGTAGGTGTCTGGAGGAGATTTGACACAAGGAGCTTTGACGAGGTGTTTTGTGAAGTAGCCAGAAATGAGTTCAACCTGGAGAGCACAGAGTAATGAAGCAATAGGCAGGTGCTCAGGACAGGCAGTTTTTTTTTAACTGGAAACTACAGATCGAAGTGCTAGCAGTCAGACCCTGGTGGCTTGATTCTACCCAGAAGAGGCAAACTATCAGGTGTCAAATAATCCTTCAACATCTCCTTAAGAAACTCAGCTGGTGATGAGATAATTGCAGCCAGGTGTGTCATCTGCAAAAAGATCCACCTCGCCCAGTCACTGTTTGAAGGAAAAGTCTCTCGCACACGCACACACGCACAAGCATAAACACGCAAACTAGGTCCTGGCATAAACAACTGGAGAAAACTTGCACTTTCCCTGACATCGCATTAATAAACTTTAAACCACAGTAACGGAATGACAAAATCTTTGAAGACTTGGAACTCTAAAGTCTTAGTACTTCAGCATACTTTGATATGGGTAACTGGCCCATGTTTGCTCGTCAACACATAAAAACGCTTTGGCTCCTTGGCTTAGGAGAAAATCACATATATTTACTAGGCTACCATCTGTGCATAAAGGTAACACTGTCATTTATCTTATTATTGTGCAAATTTGAAACACAAGGTACTTATGCAACAGTGTCACAGCTGTATAATTATCTTCTCAAATCTTGGTTGATATCCTGCTAATTTTATATCAAGGTAAACTGAAATCATGGTCTCTTAATGTATTTGTAAAGTTGTTAATATTTCCAAGACATATGTTATATGAGACAGCTTTTGTACATTGTTTAACCAGGAAAATCCATAAGGTAGTCTTTTAAAGAATGCACTTGTAGCATCGCAACATTAAGAAAATTAAGTGAAAGATGTCTTCTCCTTTTCTTTGACGTTTTAGAGAGAACTTGATGTAAAGACATATAAAATGCAATTACCACATGCTTAACAGTCACAGAAACACCTTTTTTTTTTTTTCTTTATAGGTGATGATGTCAGTGGATCAGGAAGTGGCATGTGTGCAGATGACATATGTTCCCGGGGGCCACGCGTTGTTGCCCCAGTGACCGAACCACCCAGAGTCTATGCCTACCCACCAAGGAACAAGGAAGTGAGAGGTTCAGCGTCACAAAGTCTCCCTTCATTCAGCATCCTTTTGCTTTCACTGCTCATCCTGTTGCTGCGGCGATAATTTGTGGGAGAGTTCTTCTTCCTGGGACTGAGTTTGGGACATGAGGGACTGGAGAGTTTTAACAGACAGGGAGGAAACATTAGGGGTTAGTTACTTTGCCAAAAGTAAGCCAATTAATAGAAACGATAGCAAAAATTACTCAAATGGACCTTCTTCGGTTTTAAAACACAATGGAGTCATGAGTATTGATCTGTGTTTCTGATCTTCTCCTGTTCTTTATTTGTCGGTATTCTATGACACTGTTAGAGTTGGTCTTTTGGCATCCTCTAATGGTTTGTTTCTAGTCTTTGGGTTCTCTAAAGTAACATTTTCACCTAAGACATTAAAAGACTGTACAGCTAGCAGTAACTTAGATATTGACATAATGGGAAGAAGAAGACTGGAGCAATGCGGTAGCCCCTACGTGCACATTTGATCTCCACTTTTAATCTGTAGAAATTATTTATTTATTAGAAGTTATCAATAGAGCATTAATTAGACTATTCACATCACTGGTTTAAAAGCCAAAAAAACCCACAAACTAGATATTCAAAAGACATCTTTCAGGAAGGATAATCTGAGCAACATGACCCATTAGACCTGTTGATGCATTAGGCTTTCCAGTGTTATTACATAAAATCTTTTTCTGCGGCGGGATCTGAGCTGGTGCCATCATCAATTTCTGCCCATTTATCTCTAATCTGCAATAAAAGTCGTCATAATATTCACACAGACATGTCCCTTCTACACTGGGGAGAAACGTGTCCCGTCTTCCATTCCAATCCATCCACTCCTCCATTTTGCTCCCAACACATCCGACTCCCACACCACCCAGTTACCCCATTCTCCTGCTGGCAGCGTAGCATCAAGCTGAGGTTCCGGTTTAAGCGAAAGTGCTCACCTGACCGGACAGAGTCTCAGTTGACAGAGAGTGGAACAGCGTAGTTAGTTAGAAGGCTGCCCTCGTGAGAGAGCAGAAATGTACGCAGAAGCAGAAATACAACTTCCCCGCCCTCACGTTGTTCAGTACTTTTTTTTTTTTTTTTTTTTTTTAATTTTCCCGGGGATAAAACAATTTTTGTAACACGACGAATT